TATGTTTTGTGGTGTATGCGTTATTATGCTGACAATGTTTGTTATGTTTTTTTGTGTTATTTTTTTTTATTCATCAAAAATAGATGTTTATTATAATCTCGATTTGTGGTGTTTAGAGGTGGGGGTACGAGTTGTTGGGGGGGGGGCTTTGGGAGGGCGCGGGGGGGGGGGGGGGGGGGGCTAATTCATTTCAAGCCTATGGAGGGGGGCTTATTTGAGCGTGGGGCTTATTTAATTTAGAAAAGACGATGGTATCAGTTCTCCAAAACGAGCTAGAATACGAGGTGGAAAAGCTCAAGTACACGTCCGTCTCGGGAGCCTTCTCAAACCGTAAGCACGGTTTATTTCATATTACGGTATTTTCAGAACGGAGCCAAGGTAGAGGTCATGCAGCCGAGGATCAGAATCAAATCCGAACTTTCAGTTGGTAAATAAACCATCCCGGATCAGCCTAAACGGAGTCTTATAGCCGTGATTGATTAAAACAGTCTATCGTTTGTTAGTGAAGAATAATTAGGGAAGGGGAGGGGGGCTCAATAGAGATGGCAGTGCTTATTAACTTTTCTTCCCCTGAAAAGGGGGTGGGGGGGCTTATTAGAGGAAGGGGACTTATTTGAGAGGGGAGGCTTAAGTAGATTTTGTATTTCATTTTATGACTGCCACTCACAAAAGTCAAAATTGCCATCCGCTTAGACTTTCTCAAAGTTCGTCGCCTCCCATTTCCGGTTCCGGTAGTTTTGCCGCAGAAAACAAAAAAAATCTCCCGTTCACGTTTCGCGCTCGATAAGAATTTTTTAGCTTGACTTGTGGGCAAATCTACAATCCGCTAGCCTGTGAAAACAGCCGTTTCTCGTCGCTTCTCGCCGCTTGGGACGTTTCGCGAGGAGAAATGTCTGTAATCCGCTGAAAAACTACATACCGTACTCCGTAGCAAGTTTGATTTTCTTCCCCCAGGGCCAGTTATGTAGAACTATGTGAAGCTCTAATTTTGCGTACCTACCATTATCTAGCGGATAAGTATTAGGGAAACCAACTACGTTATCCACCGGATTGGGATTTATGGGGCAATGGATGGCGACTCAGGGGCCTGTTTGTGGAGCTCCGCACGAAAAAAGAACCGTCTCGCGAACTCGCGATCGAGGAGACACGATAATGCCGTGGGCCCCTGGGTACTAGTCGTTTAAAGCTTGGCTGCTTAGCCTTTGCCTGAAAATAGACGTCACTGTTTATGGTTAGAAGGTTTTTAGCAATCTATGTTTGGTTCATCCTTTAAAATATGCCTTTGCGGATGCTACTAAGGTTGGTATCACAGTTTCAATCATCTTCATTGGGTGTATGTATTAAGAAGTAGTTGAAAATATAGCTTTCGTGCCCGTATATATCCGATCCGATCCCTCTCTACGATGACATTTGATATAAACATGATCAAACATGTTGCTAAAATTTCATCATTAGTAGAAAATGAAGTATTATACTTTATTTCAACAAACATAACATTTACTTATCACCAAGATCATTCAAGAGAGGTGTTTTTCTCTTTCCCCAAACAGCCAAATTGTGGCAATTCAAGGCTTCAAGCTGACTCAACCAATAAATCCCATATATTATGGTATTCATACAGTTATTATTATAACTGCTTTCAGCCTGAAAGATAGTCAAGTGATGAATGCTAGATTGGGGCTGTGTTCGTTTTGATACAACCATCCTAGGCCTTGCTCTTCTTGTCACAGTCATGCATTGTTGCATGAGTAGCTAGGTGAAGCGTAATCGTCCGAGTGAGCGTAGTCCTGAAGTGACTATTGCTGACAGGGACTGACGTTTTGACAACCTGTGCAGTAGTCATCTTCAGAGTCAAAGTGAGTTGTATCAAGTTAGTTGATGGTATTGAAATCTGGTTATTGACCAGTGGTCAATGAAGTCACGACCCGGCGGGGGGTACTCCCGCGAATTTTGGATAGGGGTGTGCCGCGAAGGTTCGTTAACCCTAACCCTATTTAAGGACTAAGAAAGCGAAAAATGATACCCTTTTGAAGGCCCAAAGTCAAAAAATGACACCCTATTCTAGGAAAAAACAAACTTATTAATAGCATGAAAAGGAAAACTTTATTTCTTCTCCGTAACATTGGACATATAGCATCAAGCATAAAATACTAGAATAAGCCTAGTTTAAAAAAAATGTTCGTTTAGGCGGGCGTTTTCACACTCCAGTATTAGATAATGCAATTAAGCTACCCTATCTAAGGACCACACCAGGGACACAGAAACAAAAGGGTAAAAAAAGATACCCTATTTAAGGACCGAGAACCTCAAAAACCATACCCTATTCCGCGGCACGTACCTATACAGCCCATATAAGGGAGTACCTCCCCCCCGCCCCCGGGAGTCACGATGTTATTGGTCCACTGTCTGTTATGCTGTGATATTATTGGCTATGAAGACTCTTAAATGCCATTGGTGCGTTTTGATCCATCTATTTGTCACAGTTTAACAGTTGTTTATTGTTAGTCAAATTGTCAATTATTCAATCATTCTGCCATTGTCAGTTTTGCTTGTCGAGTGAGTCTGTCAATGTCGTTCATACAATGCTGGTAACAACAGTACTTTGCAGGACTACAATCAGCCGGCAGTCATGCGCCACCTACTTATGAAATTACTACCAGGTTCAAACCTTTCACAAATTGTTTTTTAGCATAAGAACAATGTAATTTGTACAAGAAAGCAGGAAGGGTTTTTTCTCAAAGCAAGGCCAATTTAAGTGCCACTTCCTCTTACAACTATAAATGTCGTTCATACAGTGCTGGTAACAACAGTACTTTGCAGGACTACAATCAGCCGGCAGTCATGCGCCACCTACTTATGAAATTACTCCCAAGTTCAAACCTTTCACAAATTGTTTTTTAACATAAGAACAATGTAATTTGTACAAGAAAGCAGGAAGGGTTTTATCAAAGCAAGGCCAATTTAAGTGCCACTTCCTCTTACAACTATAAATAACCATTTACAAAGAAATTAGGGTACATTTATGCCAGTCAGAGGCGGTTGTGGGCTTATAAAATTTGTGCGATTCAGGGTATTTTTTGGAGAACATGGGCCTAAAAACTGACCTTTGAATTGACATAATGGCAAGATTACCCAGCTTTATATGACATGCATCAGTATTTTTAATTTGTATGACTGGTGTGTAAATCTCTGTAATTTTATATACATGCACATGGCAGAGGAAAGAAAAATAATCTTCTTACATTCCTCTTCTTTTGCACTGTTACATGAATGTTACACGGTGTAAAACTGACTCCTTGTAATTTTTTTTTTGGTATTATAGTTATCTGGCCAATGAACAACTCGTTGAAAGAGTAAGTTAATAATTTTGTTGATCATTTTTTTTACTGTATACAATAGGCATTAATTAACAGTTAATGAATGAGGCTGAGTATCTTATGAAGAATTATGGATATCGAGGAGGGTGTTATACAGCCTTGGCGGATAACACCCTCCGAGATCTCCATAATTCTTCATATGATACGAAAGCCGAATTCAATAACTATTTTTTCATTCATTCAAAATAATTCCTAGTTTAAAAACATAGCTAAAACATGCTTACCTCCATCGATCCATCGATGTTCAGTTCATCTTCGATAGTGTACGTTTAGGTTTGTCCAGCTCCACAAATATTCTTCAAATAGCAGATGTCACCCTTCGAGTTGTCCTCTTGCTGTTCTTGCCATGTTTTTAGCTTTTTTTTGCCTAGTTCTTACTCTTGAAACGAGTGAAATGTCCGCCATTTTTTTTAAGTTCACAACCAAAACAACGCAACCTCGTTCCCAGGTCTTCTTGGTTAACGGTGCCTTAACCTGCAAAAACGCTGCATTTTTGACGTCATTTCCTCGTTAAAGTCAAAATTCTTCCAAATTTGGTCATCAGTAACTGGTTATGGTGAATTAAACTTGTGCTTTTAGCCAATCAGAATCGGGAAAATATATTGAATGAATAATAATCGTCTTTAACTTTGCAATGGAAAGGCTTTTCTTAGTTGTTATGATGAATAGGGAAATAAATGGGAAACCATTGTTCCAAAACGGCTCAATTCACCCAACAAACCCATCCACAGGGTCTTTCTGTTGTCCAATATGGTGGTAACAGGAGAGAAGTGTTTGGCCACCAAATTAAAGGTCTCAAAATATTTCACACTGTGTACAGTAATTAGCTTTTATTGAGTTTTTAAGTGGAAACACTTGTTCCCTGAAAAAAGTAACATATAGAATCTAAAATGATTGACAACTGATCAGGAGAATGTTCACCAAATTAGGCAAATACTGGTATGAATAATATTGATGTGTACATAATGGCATGATAAAAAGTGTTCTCCTTATCAGGCGGTAACCAGTAAAATTTTCCTAAAGCAACAAAGATAACAATGGCTGATTTGCTTAATGTAGGTCTTAAAATGAGGGAATGACTCTTCAGAGAACTAGCTCCTAAATTTCCCAGTGAGGGCAGGGCCATGTCCCTCACTTTACTACCCCCTGAGGAAAGTGCCCCTCTAGCACTATATTCTTTGCCTTGTTGGCCAGGAATGGTCCCTTACCTGCTTAGCTAAAATTTAGGGAGAGCACTGTAACAATGCATATGTCAAAATGATTAAAAAGAGAGGGAGAAAAAAGGGAAACTAAGGAACAATGTAAAATATTTGGTGGGGGTATTATGGGGTGGTGGATTTCAAGTCCATGACCCCAAGAGGCTAATATATTATGGGTCAAAACTTACCCTTTAACTGTTAGCTTTTGTGTGAGAGGCAATAGCCTGAGACTGAAATTATTAATACATGTATACTAAGCATACTGTAATACAATCAGTAATAATAAATTAAATTGAGTCATTTTGGTTTATCTTCAGCTTGCTAACTCATATCCCATCCGTCGTCTGGCCCAGCTTACCCATTACACCTACAGACGAATGACACTTTGGGGTACGTAAGTTCAGATTCCTTATTCATAGCAGCTTGATTTAGGCCCTCATGGCAGTTACTCAGGCTGTGACAGTTTTATTTTTTATTTTTGACTTCTGATAGTCAGTTGCTTGTTGAAGCATTTAACAAGCAAAATAGAACTTAAAAAAGTTACTTGATGTTTTGATGTAACACACATTATCAAGAGTGAAAAATGTTAAGTTTAAAAGTAATTTGTTTAAAGAGCTGAAGATTGAATAAATTAGATTGTATTCATGTGTGCTTCATTGAATGTGCAATTGGATTTGATTCGCGCTGAGCTATTCTGTTAAGAAATCTAGCATGAATAAGTTCAATAGCACAATAAAGCATGCATGGAAACAATCTAATTTATTCAAATGTCAGCCCTTTAAACAACTTTTGCTTGACCCTTGTTGTTTGACCCTTTATGTTCCAAGAGTGACCAACATCAGTTTTCTCCTAACAATACTCATAGATGATTAAAAGAAAAGGTTATGAGAATAAATAAAATGATCACCTAAGGGATAATGCTTTGATTTTTGGACAAACTCTCTCAACAAATTCTGTAAGGAAATGTATGGAGATAAGTTTGGAGAATTTGTATGTGGATATTGGGGCTTTAAGGGTTATTATTGTTCATTCAAAATATTTCCCCAATTCTGATTGGTTAAAAGCACACGCGTAATTCACCATAACCAGTTACTGATGACCAAATTTGGAAGAATTTTGTGTTAAACAAGGAAATGACATCAAAAATGCAGCCCTCTACAGGTTAAGGCACTGTTATCAAGAGGACCTGGGGACAAGTTGTTTTGGTTGTGAAAAAAAAAAATGGTGCATATTTCACTCATTTCAAGAGTAAGAACTACAGCTGGAACTAGGCAAAATAATAGCTAAAAACAAGGCAAAAACAGCAAGAAGACAACTCGTAGGGCGACATCTGCTATTTGGAGAATATTTGCGGAGCTGGACAAACCTAAACGGTGGATAACACCCTCCTCAATCTGCTTAATTCTTCATATCCTACTCAGCCTCATTCATTAATTGCCAAATTTTTTTTTTTCAGGTAATGATGCCTTGGATAAAGCTGTTAAGTCAAGCGAGGCAAATGAAAACTTTCAAAGATATCCTCAAGCTACTGGGAGGCTTGTTTCCTTTACAAGAAACTTCCTGAAAAACATTCAAAATGAGATTGAAAAGAGCCAGCGAGGACCAAGATAATATTTATCATAGTTAGTGATGTCAATGAGCAGTACTTCAAAAGTCATCTGTGATAGCAGACAGACTCTTACCAGAAGTTGTCACCCCATCATTTGTCATTAAAACATTTTCAAATGTGTAATAACCTAGGAGTAGAACTCAGACAGTAAATTGTTATTCTAGAAAAAAAGAACACAGGACCCCTACCTACATTTTACATTTGCACCTCGTGCCATGGGCTCACAAAACTGCTGCCATGGCTGTTGTTGAGTTGTATTGGCCTCTTTGAAATGAGAAAAATACTTCAAACTAATTTGATCTCCTTAGTTTAAGTCCAGTGACATTCCAAGTCAAACAAAACCAAAGCTTAGGGTCATAGCAATCTCTTTTTATTTCATGCTTGGCTGTTTCTGGCGATACCAGTTCATGACAAGTTTACAAACATCCAATTTTTTTATTACAGCATTAAAGAGTAAAAGACCTTGAATAAAGTATGACTACCATTTTGCTGAGATCTTTCGCTGCTGTTATCTTAAAAGGCAGGCTGCTACTTAAGTACAAAAAGACAAGTCAAAGGGTTTTTGTGTCCTTATAAAGCCTAATGCGCTGAGCAGTACTTCCTTTTATGGTGTTCTTCACAATTTTTTTTGTTAGTTTCTAACAACAACAGACTTCAGAGTTAACTCATTGACACCTCAAAACTAACTCAAATCAAGAGTCAATTTATGGCCTTTAAGAAGCAGCCATTTTCTCTATGGTCTTCCTGTAATGTGCTTCCAGCTCTTGATAGACTTGATCCAGGTACTGCATTCGTTCTTGCTGTGTCTGCTGAGTGGCAGTCAGTTCCTCAGGCTTCAACAAATGTTTTAATTTCTCCATATCAGCTTTCTCTTTCTGAAAATGAATAATAATATTGTTGAACGTTACTACACGTGGCCCAAAAGAATAACAGATCTCCAGTGGGGTGCAATTGGCATTAACATTGGAATAATCCATCTAAGAACTGTTCTGTATTGAGCCAATGGGATTGTTATTCCCAAAGGGCAAACTTAACCACTTAACAAAAGAAGGGTGACAACTTGCCTTGTCCCTAGGCCTCATTATTCATTATTGTTTTGGGTCACGTGGTCCAAGCAAAGATGTTTCCCGCCCATTTGCCTCGGATACGTCATTGAAGTGAGGGCCTGGGAAATCACTGTAGAGGGACTAGGCAAGGTGCACGAAATGGGGATGACAAAAAGGAAGGTGGTAGGAGAAAGGGAGAACAAAAGGGAGTGGTAACCAAAATGCCAGGCCCTAGTTGTTCTAAAGGTAGATAACACCATCCACTGGATAAATCTCTATCCGCTGGATAATGCAATTGGTTTCCCTAATACTTATCCATTGGATAGTAATTATTTATCAGGTGGATAGCACTATCTAACATTTGAACAACTGGGGCCAGGCCTGTACTATATAGCTTGGGAGAAAATGAATGGCGGAGAAACAAAAATGGTAGTGACAGGAACTGAGAGGAAAGAAGATATGAGGGTAACTTCCTTAGTTCATGTGATAACATCCAAAACTTATACATTATTTTACATGCCTGGAATGGAATGTTGAGTCTGTTTTTCACTTCAAGCCTGTAGGCCTTGTATTCTTCAGCGTTACTAAGATCTGTCACACGGAGACGTAGAATTTCATACACTCTTCTGCACTGAAGCTACAAGGTAATATTTCAACATAATTATATAAAATTAAGTATTTGGAATCTGTAACTAAAGGAGATGGTAAAATGCAATCATGCAAATAAAAAAAAAATGAGGCCAAGACATTTCAATAATATTACAACCTCAGGGGCATAGCTAGGGGGGGTCTTGGGGTGCCCATGACCCCTCCTTGGTAGGCCTTCTTTTGAGCAAACAACCTACAATCACAATATTCAGGTAGCGAAAACGCCATGACAATATCTTGGCCGTAAAAGCCATTGTTGAAAAGCCCACTTCTTTAAAATTTGTTTTTTTGTAAAGTATTTTTGTCAACGGCTCTTGTCTTTAGTTAATATGGCGCTTCATGCTGCGATAATATGACTGAGCCCGCTGATACACGAGGGAGAGCAGCGGTATAAACCATTATAGTCCGCAATCCCCGGATGGTGTCCCTGTCTGTGACCCCCCCTTTGAAAAATCCTGGCTAAGCCCCTGAACCTGGGTTTCAATATCATTCTTTACCTTGTTGATCTTTAGTTCTTCTCTTGCTTGCTGCACCATTTTATTACTGAAGCCACTTCGTAAGTTTTCCGGTGAAAATGCTGACAGGTTCCTGCAATCTAAGGCATCTACATAATCCCGCAACTTCAAGAAGTCAGATGAAGGCTCCTCCACTAAGAAAAAGATGGAGAATAATTTTTGAACTTTGTGAATCTACCATGTTTTATGTTTGAGTTTGATCTAACTTGACAGAAAGTAGGGAATTAAAGGGGCTGTGTCACGGCAGTCCAGTTCATTCTGTTTAATTTTGCCAATTACTCGCCCTCAGTCGCTATAGAACTTGAAGTAAGCAAAGAAATTATATGTAAATGACAAAATCAGAGATCCAAGACAATCAAATCTGTACTCTTGAGCATTAGTTTTGAAGTTGCAAGCAGCAGGAATCAACTTCGAAAAACTGTTAGGCTGAACAGTTTTCAAAAACTCTAATTTCAATCCATTTCAATCTTCTTCAGTTTCGCCCATCCGTGGAATCTGCTGTTTCTGTTGTGTTATTTTAAACTTCCTTTATGATTTGAGCGGTTATTTTTATGTTTGTCTTAATTTAGCGGGCATCTTGTAATTACCTAATTTGTCTGAATTGCGTGACACAACTCCTTTAAGTGGTCAGAGTGCCAGTCAAATACTGGAAATGATGATACAGTCAAACCCTGTTAATACAGACACTGATGGGTCCATAGAAAGTGACTTTGAGAAAATATAAAGGCCTTCTTTCCCCAGGGACAAAGCTGTGTCCATAAAGTCAGGTTCAACTGTACACAGAGCTGCCTTCAAGGGCCATAAGCAAAACCACACCACCTAGGGAAGATACTGAAGAGGGTGGGTTATCATGTCACAGTCTTCTATGGGGGAAGCATTCAAGCAAGTTATGAGAGAGGGTTACCCACCTTTTGGGGAGAGAGAGAGGGTGGGTGGGCTAAAAATGCATTTTGAGCGGAAAGGGAGAGAAATTTAGACATGAAGATAGCAACCTTTTGAGGATGTAAATCGGAATATTTTTCAGTCATTGATGAATGACACGAGAGCCAAAGACATGAGCTGCTGTGGGGCGAGGGCCGGCTCCCCCAGATAATTTTGAAATCTTGATGCTCTGAAAAGCCATTTCTAGCATTCTGAGAGGACACTTACTGTCTAGAACATTCACTAAATCAATTGTCATTTTTATGCTTATTTTTATTTGCATGGCTTCCTGTGCAAGTACTCAATTTTATTTTATATTTTGTGCAGTTTTCAAATTTTTCTGGATACTGATCAGTTTCAGTTAAGTATGCTCTGTTACATCCAGGTGTTCTTGTATAAAAATTGTAAGAATTCATTGAAAAACATCAGAACAGATGTCAACATCGGGATTTTTCCTATCCCGATTGCAAATTGGTCAGGATTCAGGATTTTCAAGCAAAATCGGGACGGGACAATCCCGATGAGATTGGGATGGTTGGACAGTCTGAGTTAGTACCTTTATTCAGCCACATTTGCTTCATTTTAAACTAAAGCATTGACAAACAAACAATTAAGACAACAATTTCTCATGCCACTAAAACTATTTTTAGAGAGTAGGTAATACTTCTGTAGTGACTAGATGGCAATTTCTGCTAGTCACGAGAGCTTCTGAGGAACCCTGATCCTATAATTTTACAGTACAATGGCACAGTCATTACTTCAAAAATAATCATACATACCTGTTATGTCTAGCACCCGCGGATTCTTGACATAGAATTTATCAACGGTTTGGAGCAACTGAACTGACGAGATAATAGCAAACCATAAATAAAGTCGAACCTCCACGTGCGACAACCTCTTGTAAGCAACCACCTCCCATAACCGACTGTTTATCCAAAACACCAGAATTTTCCCAGTCATAGCCTTATAGTTGGAACCTCTTGTAAATGACCGCCTCTTGTAAGGAACCACAAACGCATTTTAGTTTGACTGTTTTAGATGTATTTGAAGTATGTTTTCCTCAGGGGGTACTCCGGTATTCGAGTGACGGGGATGATTGAAGGATTTTTTTTGGTTTGAAATTTTTGATTCCAGGATTTTTTTTGGCAGGAAAATTTGGCAAGTTTATTTTTGGGTGGCTTGATTTAAGTATAGGAACTTTTGGGGGATTTTTGAAACTGTTTTAATATTAAATGCATTACATTCCATCTAAGGCTCGGAAATTCAGCATGGGATTTTAGGGGGGTTAATTTTTGGTCTACGGATTTTTTGGGGTTTTGATTTTTGTCCCTTTTCGATCATCCCTGTCACTTAAAATCCGGAGTACCCCTCCTGGGTATGTATTATGGTTACTCAGAGTATGAGGAAACTGTAAGATATTCACGTTTATAGTAACCTAAAAATTGCATGCAAAACATTCTCTCCAAAAAATACATGTGTCTGGACTTCTCCTTGTTAAAGATTTCCTGCAGTTCAACTCTCGTAAATGAGCACTTCCGTAAGCAACCACTAACTCTTTATATTTTGGGTGACCGCTTAAAAAAGGTTCGACTCTATTACTGATGCCAGTTTGTAACAAATGCACAGTTGAATTTGTAGTTAAATGGTTTACCTCCATGTCCTTGTCTTTGAAAAGGAGGAAGAATAAGCATCTGACTGTAAAGAAAAAACAAAGAGCAAAAAATAATGAAATCTCTATTTCCAGGGGAAATTACGTGTCTTCAATAAATGTCAACTACGTTTGTAATTGCATACACATAGACTACAAAGTCAAAGGGACAAGCAGGGTTGTTACTCAGATTTAAACAAGGAATCCACCAGGAAACTGAGTAA